TGGGGATATAGGAAATTTGCGAAAGTTGAAGCACAGAGATCACCTTCACTCTCATCCCACCAAAAATTTTCACAATGAGGGGTAGCCAAATTATATATCGTAAAGTTATGCACAGGAAGCTTCAGCTTATAATAAAGTGCACTAGCATTCAAACTGGGACAAATTTTGACTGCCTGTAGATCCATCGTGAATGTATAGTTTTTCTTCGTCCGTGCTTCTTCTTTATCTCTAGATTTTTCTTCCTGTGCTCTGTCTTTTTCCAGGACATGTTCTCTATACTTATTCTCATCTTTATTACCGACCTCATAGGCACAACATAGATCACATCTATCTTTTCTAGGTTTGTAAATGGAATAATTCATTTCTGAAAACAGTTTTTCAAAAACTGTTCTACTCAAACACTGCTCATTCTGCTCTTCACATATCCTGAGGTATTCTTTGGAAACATCAGCTTTCAATTGGAAGATTTCTTCCAAATACTTCGTGGATGTATCCTTCCTATAATAGTGCGAGGCTTGTGTTGGTAATGATTCTAAGCAGGTCTTCAAGAACGTTCTTTCTGACTCATTTTCTCTATTTGAAGATTCCCTCCTATTGATGATTCGGTTTTCAGTCGATTTCAGGATACCAATCTCACTTTTTTCAACCCATTCATGAACCATGTCTTCTTTCAGCGCCCATGTGTTCAGAAACATTTTCTTGCATACACGTTTCTTGCAGCCATTTATTCTCAAATGATGTTGGTAAGTTCCTTGACGCCTGGAAGGACCATTAGTGCTTGATCGTTTTTTTTCGGGATATATTCAACCATTGCAGTCACGAAAATTATTTTCTGATCCCAAGACATATCTTCCCAAAATTTATGAAATACTGCTCCTCTTACTTCAGTATGAATTTCATTGCAGAAATGAAGCTTTGACTTCCCACAAAATTTTGAATCACATGGCACTCCAATTTTTCTGCAACTCCTTTGAACTCCATAGGTAGATAGATAGATAGATAGATAGATAGTTTTATTGATCCAAATACGAGCTTATAAAGCTATAGGACAGGTCAGCACAAAGTACATGTATAAATAAAATGTTTCTTAAAAGTTAACAAACAATAGGAATGTAGATTAAAAGAAAAGGAGAAAATATCTGAACAATAATAATTATCGATGATAAATTTCAGGTAAAATATTCTTCGTAACAATAAAATAAAATTATTGAAAATCATATATCAAAAATGTTCAATGTATTCGTCAAGATTGTATGGAGTAAGACCCAGTAAAAAACGTTTGGTTTTTTTTCTGAATATATGCACTTGTTCAATTGCTTTGAGCTCACTGGGAAGTACATTGTATAATCTCAGTCCTATCACGTTTAGTGATTTTTGGCAGATGGTGAGATGTGGATTTGGTAAATGGAAGTCGTTTTTTGTCTCGTGTTGTAATTGTGGTGTTGATTATTCGTGGAAAATGAATTTTTATTCGCGTGGATGTATGTTGAAACTTCTAAAATATAAAGACCAGGGAGTGGGAGAATTTCAAGTTTCTTGAAAATATCTCGACATGAAGTCTGCTGGGAGACGTTTGCAAGAGAACGTATCATTCGCTTTTGTACGATGAATACATCTTCCGCTGCTGGAGAGTTTCCCCATATTGTGATTGCGTAGCAGATTCTTGATTGAACCTGAGCATGATTAAACAGGAGTAAACTAGGTGTGTCTAGAACACTTTTCAAGATTCTGATTTGAAAACATTTGGAGTGTAGAGCGCTAGTTAGATTTTTGCAATGTGATTTGAAGCTGAGATCATTGTCAATTATAATACCTAAGAATTTGGAGCATGTACTGTGTTCAAGAGGTGTGCCACAGATGTTTACGTCTAAGAGAGGTAGATTGGTGTTTTGTCTGGTATGGAAAGTAGTTAAACTTGTTTTTGATGTGTTTAGAAATAGTGAGTTGTTGCTCAGCCAACTATGTAGGGCATCAGCTGTGTTGTTTATTTTATTTTGGAGTTCAAGTGGAGATTCATCAGAGAAGAGCAGGGTAGCATCATCAGCATACAAACATGTGAAGGCTCCTGGCGGAACAGTTGGCAGTTCATTTATATAGATAATGAAAAGTATTGGTGCTAGGACGGACCCTTGAGGAACACCAATGTTGTTTTGTTGTGGACTTGACATATGAGTTATTGTTTCATTATCGCTGGTGTGATTGATTTTAACCCGCTGGATCCTTCCTTCAAGGAAGGAACTGAACCATTCATAAGGTTTTCCTCTTATTCCATTCAAATGAAGTTTATCAAGCAATTTTTCATGTACCACACAATCGAAGGCTCGACTGAGATCGCAGAACACTCCTGTTGGATTTTGTCCAGATTCAATAGATTTTAGAATATTTCCATAGAAAGAATGGATAGCACTGATAGTTGAATGTCCTGCACGGAAACCATGTTGATCGGGATGCAGTATGTTGTTTACGTCACGCCACTTTCTGACCTTTGGTAACCTTTGTAACTTTGGCCTTGCATTCGCAACCTTTTGGTTTTATCTCTATTAAATTTCTCAATAGAATTTGATGTATTCTCCCCTGACATTTCCTTCTCCCTATTTAATGTTCCTCCATCCATCTCTTCTTCTCCACTCTCATCTTCTTTATCACTTTCAGAATTTTCCAAAACATAGTCTGGATCCATACATAAATCATCTTGATCAACCAAAACTTCATCAGTTTTTGTAATAGAGAATGATGATTATTATATTTTTAGTTGAACTTGATGAGTTTATTCTATATTTCACCTGGGCCTTTATTTTCAGAATAGCTCGTAGAAGGTTGGAACTCGACATCCATATCATTGTCCACCACTGATCCTATCAGAAATGTTATTTTGCCTATGTAATTGAATATAATGACAAGAAATTTTACCTGGTGCTATATTTTCTGGATTATCAGCTTGTGAGATGCTATCTTCAAGAGAATTCAATATTATACTGCACTGCTGATTCAGTTCATCATCCAGTATATTATCGAAGATCTTTTCATAATCCTCTTGACTTTGAATCGTCACTTTGGTCAGTGAATCCATAATCCTTTTTGTTCTGCAAGATACATTCATTTTATCTTCCATGTTCATTTTATCTTCCATGGTAATGTTCCTGAAAAAATGATTCACAATAACAACTATGTGCAGTAATACCCCGTATATGTTGTTTGTTTTTCAGAGATTTGATTTGACTAGGAAGTTAATACCACGTATCGTATAACCTATCCACTAATAATGCCGAATAATCATATTTACCAGTACAATTCAATAATTAATTTACTCTATAATCAATATTGATAACTTAGGAACTAGATATGATTCGTAAATTACCGTGTTCAAATTGTTTTCACACATCAACGCAGTTCTCTTCTTTGGAGCACATTCCAACACAATGAACCAATAGTAAACAACGACTGAATGGTAGATACGGGATATTACAGATGAGATCATGGTTTGTTTGAGATACGGGGAATTACAGAAATGGATATTTTGAAGGTTTCTCTCGACATACAGTTACGTGGAGCTTTTAGACGATGTATCTTATGTTGCGTAAGTCGAGAATATAGATCCCCGAAAAATGGTAAATTCGTTAGTTACGGGTTATAACAGTTTCACAATCAAGTCGGCGAAAAAGGCTCACTGGGGCCTATACTTGCTAGGCGACCGCCTCCCCTTTCTCTACTACTCCTAATATGTACATATGATAATTAATTGACAAAATTAGAATATCTTATCACTTGTAGTATCTCGAAGTTAATATGACATGGAAGAATATAATATGTTACATTTTAAACTAGTATTTTTATGCAAATATAATAGGTAGAAATCAGAAATCTATTATTGGTGCCAGAACTGCGATCCAAACTAAATTTATTCATGAACCTGTATGCAAATTAGATGAACAATTGAATTTGAAAATTATTCAATTTCCAAACACAATCTGGTGGGAAAAATTTTCTTACCGAATACCACACGAGGTCGAATCACTTTCCGGGAATGTTTTCTTGCTCATGAATATTTCGAAAATTATCCCACGTCTCCGATTCGAGATGACTTTCAAAATATCCAAGAGCTCGAAAAAATTGACATGAATAATTTGACCTCTAGTTCATAACAAGTTCAAGTTCAAGTTTATTTCGTCATTTTTTATACAAATTGTATATGTGACACGTCGAAAACAATGAAAAAAAAATATACAAACAAAGTACTCATGAATAGTACAGCAAATACATCATATTAAGAAAGGTTCTTATACTCTTTGAGGGAGTAAAAGCAACTTGTTAGAAGATATTCTTTGAGGAGCTTTTTAAATTTCACATGTTTTTTTTTCTTCTTTGATGGTTTGGGGAAGTGAATTGAAATATTTTGTTCCTGAGTAATTTGGGGATCTTTTATACCCGGAATAGTTACATTTGGTCAAATGGAAATCATTTCTGTTCCTTGTAAAATGATGATGGATTTCTTTATTCTGCATAAAAGATACGGAATTCAAATGAACATAACTTAGCGTTTTACAAAGGTAAATGCATGGTAGTGTAAGAATACGGTTATTTTCAAATGTTTCTTTGCAAGTTTCTCTATATTCGACATCAAAAATCAGACGCAAAAAACGTTTTTGCATAATGAAGATCCGATTTACATCTGATGCTAGTCCCCAAATGGAAATATTCATACTCATTCTGGAATATACCAATGTATATTATGATTCGTGAAATTCGACTTCAATGTTAGGAAAGCGTAATAAGTTTTTTTTATTGTTGTGCATAGGTATTCAATATGTTTGTTGAAAGATAATTTACAATCCAGTTGTGTTCCAAGGAATTTTGTACAGTTGTATATTATATTCTCATTCTGAAGATCACCATAATTCTTCGAAATGATGAATACGAATATCAAATTATCATCTTCAGGTTATTTTATGGCATCAGATTATATTCGAGATTTACCAATTCCAATGATTTTCTGGTTCCAGATCCTACCCAGCGATGGTTAGGAGGTGTTTATGACTGGCAAAATATGACCTGGAAATGGGCTGCTTCCGGAAAACTGCTCACCTACAGTGGATTTCCTGAATCTGACGGAGATACTGATAAAGAGAGTTTGAGATGGCAGTGCATAATAATGGATCCTTCATTAGAATACAAGTGAGTCGAAGTTCCATTAGCAACGAACTACATCATGAGTTATGGAAAGCATTTCAAAACAAGCTACAATTCTGTTCAATTGATAAATTTTCGACATATTGATCGATATGCGTTCGATCAAATCAATAATATGAGTCGAAGATGCCTTTTATTTTCAGTCTCATATAAAAGTATCCATCAGAAATATTGGTTTTCATGTACGAGTGCCCACTTAACAATAGTATATTATGAAAGTTGCAGTACGAGCCGAAGGCGAGTGCTGTAATCATCTGAGTGGGTAATAGTCATTATGCGCAAGTAGAATACTATACTTTATCTACAACTATTCAAATATCAAAGCAACTCTGAGAGTTCAGAAATATATCTTTGGAAAAAATGAAGGTTATTATATTTCAAAATCACTAAATCTGATTTGAAATACTCAATAATTTCATCGAAAACTTATTGACAAAAATTTCATTCAACGAACAGCTTGTAACTTATTTCAATAATTTTGATTTTGAAAATATGATAAATAATGTCGGATATCTTTTATTGACAGGAAAAATGTCGTGCAATCACATATCAGTCAGTCTCACCAGGTATTATATGCTATTTCACTTTTCAGTTGTAATATTAAGCATACTATTGCAGATTATTCATTTACTTGCTTCCGCTGTGGCGTTCCCCCACCGCGAAGATTAATTGTAGTACCCTGTCTCTAGAAAACAGTCATCAACAATGAAATTCCATGGTTCTGATTGGTCTGTATTAATCTATTCGAATAGCCTGTATCCATCTTAGTGTGAATAGTGTGAGCAAATCGGCAACTGTCAAGTGTCAAGTCCTATTTTATGGTTATGGTTACTCATGATAGTAGTCACTGTTGAGGATGGAAAACAGTGAATTCTCATTTTTCCGTGTATTTGTATAGAATTAAGGTGATTAAAACTATGAGAACCATGTAAGGTGAGTCTTTTAGTAGCACAAATACCTACCTAGTTGAATTTGACAAGACGATGGGATGTCAGATTATTACGCCACCCTACTGTCATTATTTCTCTTATTACTCGATTCATCACAATAATGTATGTCATTAAATGTCGAGAATCGAGTAAGCAATGTATGAATGACTCCATAGTTGTAGATAAAAGTCATTATGTTGACATCTACGTCATTTATTTCATTGTGTCAACAGTTTCATCTCATGATTAACAGGTTCAAAATCGTGCAAAATGAGGTGCCTACTTTGTATTTCATCAACATAATTTCCGTATCTCATATCACAATGACTTTATTGTGTTTTTATTCGACAAAATCTCATCTCCCATCAGATGTTGAATTCCAAGCAATGTCATCTCTTTTTTCTACTACTGCTATGAAAAGTAGCGCATTTCTCATAGCCTACTTAGTTTCAAAACCATGCATTGCTCATACTGTGAGAAATATTCTTTCTCACGGCACTTTGCCAACACCACATACCTTTCCATGGAGAATCAACAAAAATCGACCAAAACTTAATTGGCTGCTGTTCAGATTAGAGAAGTTGTCACAACTGTCAGTAGAAGTTTCTTAAATTCTTTAGGGTATTTCTCGTTGATGCTTCCGATATAAATCGCAGTTTTCATCAATTTTTTTTTTATCGCTTGGAGCGCACGAAAGAAAATCGCCATAATGTTCGAGGAACATCGTGCGTTCCTAGGGATAATAGGGACAGGAAGTAGGTATTGGAATCTTCTGAAGATTATATTTTGTTGGGAATACTTCCTCAGGCAATGAATTACAGAGCCTAGCCGTTCTATGGATGAAGGAGTTTTGATAAAGTGCTGTTCGACATCTTTCGAGGTCGACAACGAAAGGATGTGCTGACTGTGCTTGTCTAGTTCGTCTGACTGGTATTGCTTGGGAAGGGATGAGAGCAGAGATTTCCGAAGAACATTTTCCGTGGAAGTATGGATAGAAAAGTGAAATATTATTCCAACAATTCATAATTGATAATATAATGTATATACCGAGATGTGACGATTTTGATAAAAACACCGCCAGACACAGAGGTAACGAAAAAAGATTCGAAAGTTGAATTTGTTTCCGGAAATTTCAAGAAGAATTTATGAATTGACATATACGAAAAATTTATGGAATCTAAAAAAATACAGAAATGAAATCTTTTTCGGAAAGTGTACTTTTTTTGAATACTTGGAGGAACTAGGGAAGGAGTCTACTCTTTGGTCACGATATTCAATGTAGCATAGTGCCACATCATAAAATGGATACCAATATACATTACTTGAATTCTTTTGATAAGTGCAGTTTTAGAAAAAGTATAGTGTGCAACATGTAAAAACTTCACAAATGATAAGATTTCCTCAAAATTCTCACACACAAAAGACATGTTTCGCTAACACAGTAGCTTCATCAGGTGATACACTGGTACAATTGTACTAGTACAATGATCATTGTACCAGTATATCATATTAAGTTCTAGGAAATACTTCCTAAGGCAATGAATTCCAGAGATTTCCCGTTCTATAGAGAAACGAGTTTTGATATAGTGCTGTACGACATATTTCGAGGTTGATGGAAGGATGTGCTGACTGCGCTTGTCAAGTTGGTCTGGCTGGTATTGCTATTCGTGGAATGATAGCAGAAATATCTGAAGAACATTTCCCGTGGATATATCTATAAAAAAGTGAAAGGGCGTTGACCTTTTTTGAAGTTTCAATGATGTCAGGGTGTTAGTGACTGTGATATCACCCACCAGTCGAGTGGCTCTTTTCTGTATCGAATCTAAAAGCATCAGAGTTTGTTTGAGTGCTAAACTCCATATGTGAGAACAGTATTATCTTTTTTATGTTATGGTTCCCACGAAAAGGGATATCCTGTGATGTTCAGAGAACATCGTGAGAACCAAGGGAGATATGGTAGGAATTGGTTTCCTTCTTAAATTTCTGGAGGTTATATGCCTCGGGCAATGTGTTCCAGAGCCTCGCTATTCGTTGGATGAACGAGTCTTTGGAAAGAGATGTTCTGCAGGTGTCCAAAGCGACCACGAAGGGGTGCGAAGCCTTAACCCGACGAGTTAATCTTGCGGGGACTGCCAAGGGAGAAACAATTATTGATATTTCAGAAGAGCATCGTCCATGAAAATATCTATGAAATAGAGCCAGATCGCAGCTTTTGCTCTGACTTTCCCCTTCCAGTCAGCAACAGCCTTCAATAATTAATAAATTAGTCAAGAGTACACAGGTTACAGTAGACAAATCATAAATTTAGGTATATCTATCATCTCCTTTCAATACTCATGGATTAGGTATACTCACTTCCTGTCATTTCTCGGTAGTTTTCACGTTATACCCCATGCTATTCAAAGAGGAAGTTAGTTCAGTCACAACTTGTTATATTTGTCTCTACCAAAAGGGCCTTCAATTTTTTTGAGTTTTTCTCAGCGAAATCTGAAAAGCGACTCCATTGGCAGGGATTTGTTTTAGGAAGCTTATTCATAATTTCTCAATTCCAATATCTCTGATTATATAATCATTTGTATAAAATCGAAACACTTCTCAACATCAACAACAAAAATAGACGAATAGAAACCTTACCTCAACAGTCCCTGCATAAATAACAAAATCGTGAAACAGCTTATGAAAGGAGAGAGATCGAAGTACAATCGCGTAGATTACGTCGCCAAAATCTTTTTGCTTTTGCTTTGCTACCGAATACAACTTCGGGGTTGCCGATCGAATCCGAATATCGACACAGAGTACCAGAAAAGCGAAAGCATTTTGCTTTCGCTTTGAGTTACAGAGTGCCACTGCTGATCACCAACAGCAGACACATTGTTTCAGAAATATGTTCTTGCCTACTTCAAAATAGTGATTTTCCTAACAAGTGATTCTTTCCCGCACGCGACTGCTGTTGACACGAACGACGCGAAGCGGAGTTCGGGCAAGCAGTCGAGTGCGGGAAAGACACTTTCCGCATGAGTTAGGAACAATATTTTTTCTACAAGCGTAGGAAATTGATTGATTTGTTCAATTGATTATTCATTCATATAAGACCAACTAACAAGAGAAAAATATTCTCTATCTATACTGATTATTAGTAATAGCTATTGTGAACTTACAGTTTGACGCATTATGTATACACCGAGAGAAATATCTATTAGCTGTTATACGAAATTGTATAACCATTAAAAGATTTCTGAATTGAATAGGCGCCAGTATAGTTCCCATTTCACTGTTATCACGTTCATCATTTCAGAAAAATCATATAACTGTGAAATATCACTTGTATGAGAATGAAATGACACTTATATAGGGGTCAAATGACTAGCATTTCAATGCTATACGATGATATTTAAATTTGACTTGTTTTCAATTTGATAGTCAAATAAGAAGCATTTCAATATTGAATAGTGATATTATAAAAATGAAATAATACTCATGACTCATATCAATATAATTTGCTTTCAATTCCATAGTCAAATGATTGCATGGTATTTCAGTATTAGAATGATTAATTTTTCTCCAGAAAAATAAAGTGGGTTGAAACTCTTCGAGAAATATTGAAGACATATATACTTGGTTTATATACTTAAATCCAAGTAAAGTTTTTTTGAGGAACTACAGGGCATTGAAGTGCATCACAAGGACTATATACTCAGTTTACAATATCTCAGTTTGTGTAGGACAAAAATGCTTCCAATTTGGACTATCTGTTCTCATTGTCAGTGCATTGGATTATTAGTTAACATAGTGGCCAAAAATGTAATTACACAGTATCGTCAGTAAATTAGAGTTCACATTCGCAGAGTTCGTTTTATTTTATTTACCGTTATTGCCACTTGAGCTTTACAAAAGAGCGTTGAGAGACTTTTCTAACGACGTTTTCGAGATCCCCATGATAGTAATCATTAATCTTGAACACAATGTATACGCAATACAATCTATCACCGATAAAAATGTTCAAATCCAGGCTTTTGCCACTCAGTGAATAGTGAGGTGGGTTAAAAAAATGAAAGTTTTT